AGATTGCTGAGAGACTGTTGGGCACAGTCCGGAGCATGTGGCAGTACATGGAGGCCAATACAGATCACACAGAGTGATGATATCTGCTTGAAAGATTCCAGGGTTCAGTGCTGGCCAACTGGCAACTCAACGCCAAAGCCTTTCATTTCTCCCACCTAATCCATATTATACATTTTTCACCTAGAAAAAGGTGGGAAGAGCAACAAGTGCTACTTTGAACACAATCCAACACTCACCAATGTCAAGGGAAAGACCTTTGTTTCAGCCAGGTAGGGATCTGGCTGTTAAAGAAATAGCATAAGCAGCACTACGTTGGTAGCTCGAGGTGGTCTGTCACGTTACCTGTGATGTCCTATCAGAGAGGAAAAAAAATCTGTTGAAAATTCTTTTTCAAAATGGAAATCAAGGATTTTCTTTATCAAGGGGTATTGTGAAATGGTAAGACCCTTTGAATAGCTTCAAGTACAAAGTATGGGACCACTCTGAGATACTGATTTTCAAGCAGATATTGAAAGAGCTGTAAACCCAGCAATAGCAACAAAATGGACATGGGGTCCTTGGAGCTCAAGCATCTGGGCAGAGCTGCAGTCTGTAGAGAAGTTCACACTTCACTTCTCCCATGCTCATGCTCCAGGGAATGGGCAGAATAGCTGAAGAAATGGTATTTTATGTAAGAAACAATGAGAGAAGTTAATGTGTGGCAGATGCCCGGAGAATTCTCAGTGAAATCCCTCTCTTCAGATAAATCACTGAGGATTTCAAAACTGTAAAGAGATTGCTCTCGGGTCATCTCATGTTTGCAGGGAACTCTGACTTTTCACTCAAGGGAAAAGCTTGGCCAAGGTCTGCTAGTCAAGAGCTGCTGCAACTACAGTGGGGGACACAGGACATTATTAGGGCAAAAGGCTGATGTTATAATTCGCTTTCCAGTGGGACTAGAGAGCACCAACTCCCGGGTGAACTGAAACTTTGATAGCCAGGCATTTCTCTCCATGGATTAGGACTTCCCCTGTTATTCCTTGGAAGAGGAGACTATCTCAACACACTGTGAACTTTATGTGCAGTTTTAGGTGCTCCTGCAATAGCACACAGAGAAGCACAAAACACTGTGTTTCTTTAGCAAACTGTGTGTCAGATGGGCTTCCAAGGAATGCAGGAGAAACCCAAAGAGCAATGAACCAGTCCTGGGAGAGGCCAGCCCAGATCCACTGCTCGCTAACAAAATTAATTGACAATGCCAGAAAATGCTTTGTCAGTCCCAGGGTTAAGCTGACTGATGGCAGCAGAGAAGACAAATGCAGTGAGAGAGAACATGCAAACCCATCCTGAAAGCTAAACACATCCAGCTTGGCTTTGCTGATGCTGAGCTTTCAGTTCTCCGGGATCACAATGGTAATACATGCCTCTTGGGCTTCAAGTGGGTTTCAAAAGTTACCCTTAAACTCTTGAGGATGCACAGGCCATGCTCTAACAAGCACAGAGCAAGCTTCAACTCTAGTGGACAAAAATCAAAGCAACAATGAAAACCAAATGCTTCAGAAGAGGCCCTGAATGCAATGGGTAAGAGAGAGCTGTACTAAAAAAAACTATGGAAGAGAGAAGGAAAAGCTAAACAGAAAGGTATTTTTTGTGAAAAATTATTAAATGCAGATCAAAAGTGGAATGCAAGCAAAAGGTCAGGCTGAAGCCCCATCTGAGAAACCAGAAAATGGGATTGTCACATGGGTGCTGTTTAAGAAAAGATTTAAAGCTTTTCACAAGATCGGCAAAGACAACAGGCACAGACTCTTGGGGGGGGGCAATGAAAAGTGGTCACTGCAATTGCAGATGGAGGGCAACCAGTAAGATAATGCTTAGAAAACAGAAAATAACTCGGTACACGTGGCAGGTTATTACTGGGTGTGGTGTGTAGAAGCTTACTGATGGTCATTGAAGATGCATGGCAGAGACTGAGATGATCTTGTAAAACACCGTGGGTCAATCACCTGCAGTCCAAGTTCAAAAGAAAAATAATACAGAATCTGATCATAGAATCACATAGAACAGTTTGGGTTGGAAGGGACCTTCAAAGGTCATCTAGTCCAACCCCGCTGCAAAGAGCAGGGACATCTTCAACCAGAGCAGGCTGCGAAGAACCACATCCAGCCTGGCCCTGAATGTCTTCAGGCGTGGTGCATCCACCACCTCCCTGGGCAACCTGTTCCCACCTCTTGGATTGCCTACAGCTTGCCATGCTATGTTTCCACCAGATGTCAGGGTGGTTGAAGTCCCCTGGCAGGACAAGAGCCTGCAAGCGTGATGCCTCTTGTAGCTGGAGTAAGAAGGCTTCATCGACTGTCTGTAGTAGGCACCAATCACAAGGTCTCCCTTGTTTCCTCAGTCCCCGATTCTTACCCACAAGCTTTTGACCTGCTCGTGGCTATTCTTCACAAACAACTCTTCACACTCTATACCTCTCTTGATGTAGAGGGCAACCCACGCACCTTTCCTTCTTTGCCTGTCTCTTCTCTTCTGAACAGCCTGTAGCCATCGACAGCCACACTCCTGTCATGGGATCCATCTTACAAAGTTTTCAGTATGTGGAGGCAGAAACCTAATCTCCAAGCCAATAATGGAAAAATGGGGAAATACAGATTTCAAATAAACTTGCTGGGCAGAGGGCACACAAACAGACATTAACTATCTAACTGCAAACAGTTGAACTCAAAGTGAGAAATAAATCAATCCCCACTGATTCAGCTACAGGCAGTCAGCTCAACTGACAAGCAGCACAGGAAACGAGCACCAGGACAACAGAAAACCATGAAGGATGAAGAGGTGGCAACCAGGTGTAATATAGATATGAAAATGTGAAACATATTTCAGGTAAGCCTAATACTACTAATTAGTAAAGGAGATTAAGCAATTGAACCTGGCCAGCTAGACTATCATGGTGAAATAAAGCAAATGGCCTCTAACTCCAGAAACACTCTGGAGTTAGAGTAAGAGGAAGGAAGGCTGTAGTAAAGCCATGACAGAATAATTATGAGCAAAGGAATGGATTTTTTTTTTTTTAAAGGCAGATTATCTGCAAAAATGACCTTGTAGTAGAAAAACTGCATACGTCAAATTTGGACAAAGCACTCCTGGCCAAGTTTCACTGAACAGCCCAGTATCAGTCAGAAGACTGACAGCAGCACAGTACATTCCCTTATCTTGGTTTCTCAAGAAAAACCACCAGTCGACACAGCTTGTAAAGCTAAACATCATTCTTGCAGAAGAAAACAAGTCAGTAATTGGAAGCCAGGACATTCCAGCTCTATATTATGCCACAGACCATCTGACCAGAAAGTTTTAAGCATGAAATTTAGACTGTAGCATGCAGAGACGTGACCCTACTTGAATCCATGATATGCCTCAGAATAGAAATAGGGCAACCCCTTTTCTAACTTCAAAATTTACTTTTCAAGTAGTATTTAATCTTTGCAGAAGGATAAGAAAACTTTTCTGAGGATTAAAAAGATGAAGGTCTGCCCACAGCACTTGTAACATCTTTGCATACACTTTAGAAAGTAATCTCCATTTATTCTTCCGAGGTATGCTTCATGTTCATAATTAACTCTGGAGCTTAGGAGATTCTCCATGAAGTTACAAAATAGAACAGTCTCATAAATACATGTGACCATTAACTCAGAAAAAATGCAAAGCGATGAGCAGGCTTTGGTCCTTATTATGCCTTCGCCTACCAGCAATATGGTTTACTTCTCAGCTATATCTTCTCCCCGATTTACCATGGGGCACGTACATCAAAGTAGGATCTCATCCCTTATATGGAGAGCAGTCAGCAAGTACCAGCATGTTCTGATGCGAGGGGAACAGCTATTCCATAAATCTGAAACATGTTCTGGACAACAGCAGAGTTTACACAGACCACAAGAATTATAGGAATTAACTCGTCTTTTGTTTACAACATTTAAAAAGAGAGCTAGTATAGAACCAGCAGTGTAAGGGGATAACACAGCAGTGACATGATCCAACTCAAAGTACTGAAATACAAACTAGGCACATTTGGAAATGTTTTGCACATTCTAAATATAAAAGAAGAGTCTCCTTTTATGTTCAAGTTCTCCTAATTAGGAGGAGCTGATTAAACAACTTATCTGGAAAGCCAGTAATGTAAACAAAAGCCTGCTTTCTGGAGCAGAGGTGTCAAGCTTCCTTCTATTAGAGGGTTATTTTAATCTTTTTTAATCTTTCATCAACCAAGGTAAGCACGTCAGGCAAGAGTTACAATTCACCAAGGATAAATGGATTTTTTCAAGATCCACACCAAAGCAAGGTCCTTTACACCATCCGAGCCACCCTCTTCCCCCAGAATTTCAGAAAGGGGCATCTGGGTGGTTTCCACATCTCCAAGCCACTGGTTGAGTCCGTCTGCTAGTGTGGGCAAAGGATGCCACATCTGTTACACTGAGAACACTGCTATTCACCAACACCACAGCCTGATCTATTTTTTAGTAAAAATTTAGATTCAGCAGCTTCTACATATGCCCTAAAGATCATAAATACCTCAGGCACCTGCAGCTCAGAGGCCATGTATCTGACACGTCTACTCCAGTCTTCCACGTTGTTTCAAAAATCTCAGCAATGACCTCTTAGTGTTTCATTTGGAGATTATTTCCTATCATCGCACCACTTCTCTCTTGACTTCTCTTGAATTAGTTTCAGGTACAAACCTAATCTAAGCTCTGGTATTTTCAGGCCTCACAGAATTTATTTTATGCTGCTCTCTTTCCTCTTGATAGGATCCTTGCACATGTATATAATATATATATACACAAATTATTATACACATTTTATGCACACGCATACATCCGTTTAATAATAGTAGGCAAAAGACAACTGGATCCTCGTCAAACCAAGCCTAATGTGAAGTAAAAACCTTCATGTGCCTGAGAAACATTTGGGACCTAAAAAGCAAAGGCAGTTACTTCCCTGTGAGAAGAATGTGACTGATGCCATTTGTGTGAAACCACAAACATTTATTTTTAATGAAAAAATACTTAAAGTGTGCCACAGTGCCATATTTTCATTTGAATAGTCGTACAAAGATATGTATTTCTGAGGAAAAGTCTTCACACTGTAGAAAATAAATGTGGTTCTTAAATTATGTCAAAAGAAACCTGTAAAAAAGTCATGTTTTATACACTGGAATAAAATGAAACAATTAGAGATAATAATAAATTATAAGTACAGTATTTCAAATATTTGCTTCATGCTTTTTCAGCATTAGTTTCTAGATGCGTCACGTATAATATTCCCTCAGAAACCAGCAGTCAGAATGGCCTTTCAATGGTACTGTGGATAATAGGATGTGGAGCTGAGTAAAGTCCTAGAAATGATACCACCGTTTGTTATCACCCGATACGTAAGACATCAGAACATGGCAGTTTTAGGTTTGTATCTAACATATATTGTTGTTAATGGAAATTAATATTTTTTTTAATCAACTGAACTTTTATACTTTAATGAATTGAACAGCAATTATGGTCATTAAGTATGTCACCCAAGCACACTGCACAACTGTGCTTACAGGATGCTACACATTGTATTGGCTTTTTATACAGTCAAAGTTGGCAAGAATTTGGAATCCTGTCAGGTCTAATTAAGCACTGCAAAATGTTTAAAACTATAAAGTGCTTTTAAATACAAATAATTTTTGCTCCTTAGAAATAGGAAAAATCCAAACATGCACTTAAACCTGAAACCTCCATGCCCTATTTACTACAGTTTAACAGTAAAACATCAGTTTTGTGCCACTGGTTTTAAAACTTCCTTTCCCATCCCGCCCCATCCCCAGTCAAAAATTCAAACAGCGTCCATACTGGATTTGTCTGTATCTTCTTGGTCGTGTTTGTACATGAAGGTTAGAAGGAAAAAAGCAATATCCAGAGATGACCAATAGGCAGTGTGTGATGTGACTGCGGACCAGTATCTGCTCTCCACAAGACCTTCCCTGAGCTCGAAATCAATCCTGTGCTCCAGTTCCACTAGAAATTGAACAAGAAACAAAAATCATGTTAGAATTGTATGTCAGCAGAAGAAAAAACACCAGTGAGTTTCTCATAAGCTTTGGGTTCTGATTCTGCTTGCATATAAAGTACTGTGGCAGACAGACCTGCCCTGACAAAGACCTAACCAAAGCCCATGAAAGCTCCCCACCACAGACAAGAGCCTGGGAGAGCTCCTGTGTGCACTGGTCTTGTCCCACCCTCATTGTGGTGGTCAGCAGATACAAAGATGAGGAAGCTGGGTCTTGAGCCAAGGGGGGGCTACGTAACCATGTCTGACCACAGCTCAGATTTAACCAGGGCAGAAATGGAGCCCCTTGGGCAGCCATTTGGAGCTGGTCCCCCTTGGAGCAGTGGGCTGCAGTTGGGGAAGCTCTCCTTGGGTCAGGACACTGCCCAAAGGAACAACTCAAGGTTGAGAGCCCTCCCTTCATTAGGTGAGTGATTGTGCATCTTGGATCATTGGCCGTAAAGTTTATGAATCAGCAGTGTAGTGACAAATCCATGTGACATCCCAAATCTCTAGTTGGTACTTATAGGAAGAGCTTTAATTGAGTTTGAACATTGTTTCATTTAGCCTCAATTTATTTGTTCTGTGACAAATACACAAAATACCTCTGTTTACCTTTAACAGTACATTCGTTATTAAAAATTACAGTTGATTTAGATGTGCATATACTCTTTGATACACACGCATTTAGCACAAACCTGACTTAAGAGTGTTTAGTTCAGAGGGGAAAAAAAAAGGGGGGGATAATTAAATCTAAAGCTTGGAAAACCCTGGAGTTTTTTAAAGCAGCTCTTTTCCTTGTATAAATACATTTATTTATACTATACAGTCTATGTCCACTATGCAGAAATATCCAGCAAATGTTGAGGCCCCATTAGGAAACACTGACTTTCAGAAGGCAGATGCTCAAAACATTTTGAAATGAATGGACTTCTCCCATCTTTAGAGGCTCTACAAGGAGACTACACCCAATATTACAAGCCCTTTCTGAAAACCAGCCATCCCTACGCCGCACTAGCCCTTTTAATTTCCAGATTATTCCACATATATTTCAGCAGTTATCCTTTCATTTCAGTGGCTGCTTTGATCAATACCACATTTAAAGCAATTTTCACTGCATATTTAACTGGGCCATTGCCTAACCTATTGTTAAGGCATTTTAGCAGTTAGAAAATCTCAACGAGGAGCAACAGAATAAAAAGGACAAAACTAAAAGCCTGCTTAGCTACAAAAGCCAAAACCCCATATTGAGTAAAGAAACACAGCCATTTACCAAAGCCAGTTTTCCAAGGAATTTTAATTCTTGGCTCAAAGAGCACATAAAGCGCACAAGCGCTGCCCCAGCACTCATGGCACAGCAGCGCTCAGGGAATGACAACCCTCTGTGTTTTCACAGGAGTGCTGCAAATGCAGTGAGGAGAGGGAGTCAGAGCCTTCCAATACCAGGAGATGACCAGAGTCATTTCCACTAGGATGCACATATTCAAAACCACAGTTGCTCTGCAGGAAGGACGCCCCGAATGATTCTGTCTGCCTCTGATGAGAGGCCGTTACAGGAGCTTGGGAGGCAGCCAAACCCCACAAGCTGAGCGGCTGCCCTCTCAGAAGCAAATACTTTGGCTGTGGATTGCATCACTCAGTTTGCTGCCTCGCTGGCCTCTGCTCCATGTTCGCCTTCTATGGAGCAGGGGCAGGCTTTCAGCAAAGAGGGATGCCGGCAGCATGCAGAAAGCCCTGGACATACCAATCCCCTTCCCCGAAAAGGGGAAGCTTCACAATGTGCCACTGTTTTCCTCAAGTTTAAAACAAAGTCTCTGTCCTCAGATACTGACTTGGACAGGCTATCTGTTGAAATGAGCAGTGATGAATGGACAGCAGTGTATCATATGAACGCTATCACAAGATGCAACATACTTGGGACTCCTTAGATTGCAAAAAACCCCATCTTGCAAGAGTGTCAATGGAAAGCTTATAAGTTTAGAAATAGAATCAAGTATGAATTTCTGTAAAGGAAGTACCTATACTTAAAAAAAAATTAATAAAAATCTCCCAGCTGCTAAAATTTCACTTTCTGTTCCAGGCAGTTCAGATCAGGACGAGGGCAGCTTCTGCTTTCAGTCATATGTGCCTTTAAATACAGATTGCTTCAGAATTACAAATGTATGGGAAAATTTAAATCATTTTACAATAAATGGTGAGGGGATTCTCTGCAGCAATCATTTGCTTTTCCTAGGAACTACTGATACGCATATATCATTAGCCAAAATTCATACACGCATACATATATATATATTGTATATGTATGTACAAACATACATACAGATAAACCTCCTTTAAGAGGAAAAAAGATTAAAGGGAGAACAAAAAGTCAGTCCTTGGACAGTCTTAAGATACTCAAAAAGCAAGAACAAATTCAATACAGAATCATAGAATCATAGAATAGTTAGGGTTGGAAAGGACCTTAAGATCATCTAGTTCCAACCCCCTGGCATGGGCAGGGATACCTCACACAAACCCGTGTCACCCAAGCCTCTGTATTTAACACTTTAGAGCAAACCAACAAAAGTAAATAGTGGCACATGTTATTACGGTATTTCCAGCTTCCCACAACACACAGACATAGCCCACTGAGGGTCTTGTTTCCACAGCGCTTGGAAAGCGGACTCGCCACTAACCTGCGGGTTCAAGGAAGCTCGAGCTGTTGCTATGCAGTAAAAGGGGCTCCCCAGCCGCTGCAGCCTTCTTGTCATCCTCCTCGGCTCCATCTTTTCCTGCCTCAAGTGTCTGTGGGGTGGCTGTACTAGATCGACCAAATCTTGAAAAAAGCATCCCGCCGAGGCCCTTCCCAATGCTTGCAGCTCCTGCATTCAAGAGGCAAACAACATAAACAAGGGCAGCTAAATCAAACCACAAATTAAAGTCACTGCAGCACCCATCAATTAGAGTTGAGTGACAGACGAAGGAAAACACTATTCATGCTTTTCTAGGATGGGAACAGCTTATCTGACTTAAGTGCACGCTGTTTATCATGAGACTAGTGTACAAGCAAAAACTATAATTTGGAAACTGCAGCTATGGGAAAAATACATAAGAACACTTCTGCAGCAAGAAATCTGGTACTTCTAAGGATATGTCACGATTCCCCTTTCACAAAAAGTCTAAGACTAGGACAAAAATGCTTTGTAATAATGTATCTTTTGCACGCAACAATCCCATCAGGACATTTAAGACATCCCTCTCATCAAGGGTCCGTATGTTGGCATCACCCTTATAGACGTTTGGAAATGCTGTATGATCCTTTAAAAGGACTCTTTTGGTTGCTCAGGAAGAGGGTGGTAAAAGTTAAGAACAGATATGTGATGTTTTCTCCCGACTCTGCTGCCACCTTATGGACAAGACATTTAAAGTTACTATAGTAACAGCAACAAGCAACCCTGCTTTGAAATACCAGGTATTTCTACTTAAGGACTAAACTGCTTTTATATACTTAGTTGACTGGGAGGATTCCTGGCAATAGTCGTCTTCCAAATCCCACAGAGAGCTAAGATAAGCCTTGAGACAACAAAAACTGCAAGTACATATTCAAATATATACTCCAGTGAAAGTGAATTTAAGCTCACTTAAACCAGGGCTTATTTTGAATCAGAAAGCTAGGAGACAGACTTCATAATAAAATAGCCTGAATTTCCTACTTTGAAATCATGAGTTCAATGTAACTGTAACAGTTTACACAGAGTGATCTTTCTCCTATTTGCCAATACCAGAAAATGTAGTCACAAACCAAGCTTTAATTGATTTTTTTTCCCCATGAAGTAGAGTGGACACTATTAAATCACTAGGATGTTACTTCAATAAGGCAGACAGCAATAAGACAGCGATAGCATAAACTCCCAGACCCACAACCTCTCCCTGCAAGCCTTGACTCTGGCATATGTAAACTATGTTTTCTTCACAGTAAATGTCACTTGAGATTAAAACAAGCTGTTCACCTAAACAGAACAAACAGAAACAGCCAGGAATAGTTTGGTTATGATTGTACCTCTAACACCACACCACAGAGCAGTGAAGCTCAACAAGAAAGTCCTATATATAAACCAAAAGAAATAAAGAACAATTACCTAATATACCTGCTTTGCCTATGTTTGTTATAGACTCCCCATAGGGGCGTCGAGCCATGACTGGTGAAGTAGTTGGGCTTGGTACAGTTGACGCACTTTCACTATCGGTAACTGAGGTAGGTTCTTTTGTCGGGTTGAGAAAACTTGGCTTCATACACTCATAAGGTAGAGGGTTTACAGTGGTGTACCAGTGGATCTGGACAGGTGAAATGTTGCTGTAGTGTTTCAGAATTAAAGGTTCTAATCTATAGGCCTGCAAGAATAATACAGAAAAGAAAATCCTGAGTATCAAAACTGAAAAAGCATATTTCCTTCCATATCCTGGTCCTCTCCAGCCCAAAATCCAAAATATCTGTAATGAGTGAAGCCTAAAAAGTGACAATATGGTGGTGTTATATTCTGGTTCCCCTTTATTTTCACAGCTTAGAAGATGTATTAGCTGCCCAGGTGCTTGTGCATTCAGTTCTGCACATTTTTCTGCCACACTTGGACTACATATTATGAATGCGCACATTACTGTTAACAGATATTTGTTATTACGCATCGACAGAGCAAATTTAATTTAATTACAGTTAAGCTGATCCTGCACAACACAGCAGAGAAGGAGGAACTGGCTATGTAGACACTTTGATGACTCTTCATTGATCTCTGTGCAAACCATGAATTGGTGTCCTTATTTAAAAACAATAATTCTATCGATTCTTTATTTTTCTTTGTTTACATAGTTATAAAAAACTATTCTGCACTTCTTTACCTTAAAACTAAGTAAAATTACTATTTGCAGAGTGGGACCACAGACTGCAGCTTCACCAATTGCCCCAGATGTCCCAGAAAAATTCTGGTTTAGGAGTAGCTTGAGCTGAACGAGATCTTGAGCAGAACCAGCATGTTTGGATTTGGAATATACCCAGATTCAGGTAGAGTTTATATGCACAAAAGTATTCCCAAATTACTATTCTACAGTTAGAAGGAAATCGCAAATCAAGCTTGCATCAAAGAAGTTACCAAGGTGATGCAGATCAAAGTTCCAGCATCCTGCCTTTTGATAAGGGCAAACACTGGCTGCCTATGGAAGCATGTAAGGGCAAAGCTATACCAATACTACTCTCCCAAGTACTACCTGACCCTCTAACAATCTGTCACTTAGGACCCTTTGATCAAAAAATGGTGTCTTTGTTTTTCCTGTAGGATCTTATGAACTGCTTGTGAAACCTTTATTGACAAGCAGAGTATCTTACAACAGATGATGCTTAATGGAAGTCAGTAAGTTAAACGCAAGTGGGAACTTGACCGAGAAGGATTATTTCTCATGTCTCTGGGGGAAAAAAAAAGCACATTTGAAAACCACACATTATCACACAGCAGATACTTAAAAATAGTCAAGGTAAAAGACTGCAACTGACATTAAAACTCACCACTGGATCTGTTGGGTGAAAAATATTTAGTAAGCGATTACAAATTGTCCTGGGCAGAATATGGTCTTGACTACCAGAGTTTCCTGGACGGATGCCACGCAATGCCAAAAACACTGCTAATGGAGATCCCATGCAGAAGAAATTCTCTACCTAAGGAGAGATTTCATACACATTAGTAAGAATGGAAATTATGCTTTCTAACATAACTGGTTTTGATTTGCATCTTTCAACTGATTTCTCAGTTTCAGCTGAGGACTCCTACAGTAGTAGTGAGTGAAAATGAGGAAGACCATTACAACATACCTACAACATACATACTGTAACACAAAGGGTACACTTCTCATTTCCCTCTGATGTGAGAATTACATGCTGTGGTGCTAAATAGCTGGAAAACTGAAAAACAAGTTGGATATTTGAACTGAAAGAGGTCTACCAACATTGGAAAGGCTGGAGCATGAAGAATTTGGAAGACACTAAGGAAATGTGATGAGTTTCACAAGACTGAAGTCTGATTTCTCAGGAAAATTCCCAAGGCTTACCTCACCTCTTTAATCTTACCCTAACTGAGTACTCCATGATTTGCTTTGCTATATAAACCCACAGAGGAGATAGAAATGGGTATTAAAGACAACCTAGAGAACAGTCACACATGTACAGGCTGGTGCTATGTACAACCTCTTAAACCCTCCTCCCCCCGCAATGTTAAGTAAACAGGATAGTACCTGTCAAAAGTGCCACATCATCACACATTGGGAGCCACTACCCAGGAACGGGTACAGCACACTGAGCAACTCTGCAGGCTACTCTCATGTCATCCAAAGCTACTATGACTTTGCTCTAAAAGGACTGCCTCTAACACTGAGGCAACCGAGTAAACCTGAACTGCAACTGCAAACCTGCCTGGCAGAGGACGCTGAAGATGCATCAGTGGTAATGACTTTTGGTCACTACCAAACTTGGGCCAGGATTCAACAGTGACCTAGAGGTGAATGGCTTTGTATCCCATTACCAATTCTCAGACATTGTCTCCTAGAAGCATTTAATGTAAAACTCTAGTAAAAAACATTTTCATAAGTCAAAATTACTTTTTAACCTTTTATTGTGGTTTAAACACCGGAACCAGGACACCTTCAGAGTACCTCCTCACATGAAAAATTAATTCTACCATTACCAGACCTTCAATTCAACTTTTCCCACAGTAGTGCCCAGTTTACAGAGCATTGCAGCTGAGCGACTCCTAATGCACTGCTACTTGACCATCAAGAAAAATTGATGCGTTCTTGCTAAGTGCACGTGAAGGAACCTTGGATTCCCATGTGCCTTCCCTATATGTCAGCACATGGAGTGAGGGTGCAGAAATAATGGCCCGTTTCATCTATCAGATTCCAGCACTGCACAAAACATTCCTCCTCCTCTGACTTGGCACCAGTACCCCTCCTCTTCCTTCCAAAAGAATGCACAAGTCCCAGCTAAATGGGAAGAGAGAAAATCTAGGCCTTCAGCAAAGCTATCCAATGTCATATGCACAAAGCACTTCTCTGTCATCTGCATTGTCACCCTAGCCCAGTGCAGAACTGCTTTCCTTTCTTATAATTGAGCTTTACACAGACCCTTACATTTTTGCAGTTTGGACAAAAAGCTTTCTCATCTTCAAATACAATAGAAACAGATATTCACAGTGCAGTCCTTTAAACTGAATAAGTAATCTTTAACCCTGTCCATCTGATATGCTAGTATTGAGGATCTGAAGTACACAATTAGGGGGTTTCTGCTTCAGAAAGAAATCAGAAAGTGACTGCTAGCTTTCACTTGCTAGCAGATGCACAAAAGAAGTTTTCAGGAATTCACCTTAGGCAAGTACAGACTAGGCAAAAATCTCAAAAAGGAAGTGGTTTCAGTGGTTACGTAGCGCATGGCTTTTGTTCCATTGTTTCGATTGATGAACAAAAGATTAACGGTGTCCACAGACAGATGCTTTCTGCTAGGAGGCCGCTGTTCTTCTACATACGCTATTATATATTTTCTTACATGCGCAGCTCTGAAAATGCTTACAAAGTACCAACTGATGGGTACCTTAACGGGTGGCACCAGACCAATACCAAAGCAGTTAACACTAAGAATCCAAAGTAAGTCTTCCAAAAATAAAGTCCTTTAAATTACAGAATCACAGAACGGTTTGGGTTGGAAAGAACCTTAAGATCATCTAGTTCCAACCCCCTTGGCCTTGGGCAGGGACACCTCCCACTATATCATGTTGCCCAAGGCCCTGTCCAACCTGGCCCTGAAGACTGCCAGGGATGGAGCAATGGGAATTGCAGCCATTAGATGATTTTCAGCACTGCTGCAAAGTGGCTGAAGAGAAGACTGCCATGTGCTGGAAGCTACTGGGAAAAGAGGACTAAGATAACTCTAGAAAACATTTATTAATTTTGGTGTTTCTCCTATAAGCAGGAGTGGAGCACTTCACTTATATTCCTCTAAATGTTTAACAACAGAGAAGACGTGTTGAAGAACATGACCTTTCAGGACAGCACTTTTCTGCTGGTTATGATTCATAAACAGCAGGCTTAATGAATTTATTTGTATTTTAAGAAGCAGCTGAGCCAAACAGTCATCCATTCAACTTAAGACTGCAGTATGTTCAGAATTAATAACGCAAAACCAAACCTGAATGAGCCAACAGGAGTGAGGCGGCAAAGCTCTTTTGTGCATAGGTAAGCATGTGGGACAAATGAATGTGCTTAGTGGCGATGTTAAAACAGGAGATGTAGAAGTGCTGTGTTGCCTTTCAACACGGAGGATCCCAAACATCCTCCCAGAGTGAGGAAATACAGACCTCTGGAGTAGCCTCTACCTGTTCCTGCACCCAGGAACCTTTTGCAGCCTTAGCAGACAAAGGGAACAGAGGCTTACACCAGTATTACATGGGGAATTTAACTGGGTGCTTGCGTGTTGAACTACGGTGGCACATTTCTGCATTCAATTTAAAGGCTTCCTCCTCCCAGATAAGGCTGAATGTCAGCATCCCATTAAGCTCTCAGAATTCTTGTACATGTGGTAAATCACTAGGATCTTGTAAGTAATTTGTGATAGTTATCAACATTGATATCACTTTTAGATGATGCTCCATAGAGACCACAAGGTCATGTACAACCTGGAGCTTCTCCCAGAAATGTTTCTGTAACCCTGGGTGAATAAGAAGTGCTAAGGAATCTTCAAGCACTTTGGGTCAGCATATCGACAAGTCTGGATTTAACTGATTTTTTATTCCAGTACTGTGAAGCAACTGAGGTAGCTCCTGCCCTTCTTTTCTCTACTGTGGTGGAAAAATCACCCTAGGACTCACAGAACGACACCCAGCCTGACCTGAGCAGTGATCTCGGCCTTCTGGGTAACTCCCCCCAGTTTCTATACTGGGCATGACATGCTGTGTTATGGAATACCCCTTTGACTACTTTGGGCCAGGTGTCCTGTCTCTGCTTCTTCCCAGCTTCCCGTGCCCCTCCTCACTGGCAGAGCATGAAACTGAAAAGTCCTTGATGGGAGTAAACATTACTTAGAAACATCTAAAATGTTGATGTGTTATCAGCATTGTTCTCAGGCTACAGTCAAAGCCACAGCACTGCACCAGCTACTAAGAAGGAGAAATACAACTGCTACAGCTGAACCCAGGACAGTCATCCAGGGAAACTTAATTTGTTTCAGTCCATAAAAGAGGCAACACAGCGACAGCAGCTAGCCTTTTTCATTACAGATGTACATGCCTGTTTCATTGAGTAATACCACCTAAGGAGATCAGTGACCAAAGACTCCAGTCTCCTGTACTGCACAGACCAAAGTAAATTTATGGATCAAGCATTTGTGGTGAATAGCAACTCACGATCAAACCAGAGGCTTTGTTCTGCCTTGAAGAGCTAAGGTGCTGGTAGTTCACAAAGCAGTTAAGTTCTCTTTCAACAAGTTAGTCACACTCAGTAAGCTGGACTGGCTTGCTGATGAGCAGTCATCTTTCAGTCATCCTGTTGAAATCCTCCCTTGGCAGAAGCACTTTGCCCTCATGTTCATGGAAAGCCTTACTCTTTTTGGAGAGTGCTCTTACGGTGCTGCCTCTCTCTTTTCAGAGAGTGCTCTTATGGTGCTGCCTCAGGCATGATACACTCCCTAGTGTAAAGCTTCCCAGAAACAGAACATCTTCCTTGCAGTAAGGGTAAGAAAAAGGATGTACTACAACGGAAATTACCTAGCAGTAATTTAGATAGATTTCTTCCCCTTTCTTTTACCCTCCTTTCCTGCTCCTTCTAAAAAGCATCTGTTAAAAAAAAAAAATAATCTCAGTTTAAACACAACTGAGTGAAAAATAATCATCCACAGAGCTGGAGGAGTATGAGCCTGACTCCAGCTTCCTTGATGGTAGAAATAATAGTGCAATACATGCTTTTAAGGCAGTGATGAAAAGAAAAAGGATATGACAAATTGAATTATGGATAGTTTTCTTTTTTTTTTTTTATGGCTCAAGATTGACCTTGGCTTCTAGAAGTCCTTCTGAACTCAGAAGGAAATAAAAGTGGCAAGTTAAGAAAGAATTGTTCTCATCTGTCATGTCACATTTTAATGGCTTAATATTTCAGGATATAGTCGAGCAACTAGAAAGTGTTGCACATAGAAGCACAGAATCATAGAATAGTTAGGGTTGGAAAGGACCTTAAGATCATCTAGTTCCAATCCCCTGCCATGGGCAGGGACACCTCACACTAAACCATATCACCCAAGGCTTCGTCCAACCTGGCCTTGAACACTGCCAGGGATGGAGCATTCACAACCTCCCTGGGCAACCTGTTCCAGTGCCTCACCACCCTAATGGGAAAGAACTTCCTCCTTATATCTAATCTAAACTTCCCTTGTTTAAGTTTTAACCCGTTACCCCTTGTCCTGTCACTACAGTCCCTAGTGAAGAATCCCTCTCCAGCATCCTTGTAGGCCCCCTTTCAGATACTGGAAGGCTGCTATGAGGTCTCCACTCAGCCTTCTCTTCTTCAGGCTAAACAGCCCAGACTTTCTCAGCCTGTCTTCATACGGGAGGTGCTCCAGTCCCCTGATCATCCTCATGGCCCTTCTCTGGACTTGTTCCAACAGTTCCATGTCCTTTTTATGTTGAGGACACCAGAACTGCACACAATACTCCAAGTGAGGTCTCATGAGAGCAGAGTAGAGGGGCAGGATCAGCTCCTTCGACCTGCTGGTCATGCTCCTTTTGATGCAGCCCAGGATACAGTTGGCGTTCTGGGCTGCAAGAGCACACTGCCTGCCCATGTTCATTTTCTCATCAACCAACACCCCCAAGTCCTTCTCCACAGGGCTGCTCTGAATCTCTTCTCTGCCCAACCTGTAGCTGTGCCTGGGATTGCTCCCGCCCAGGTGTAGGACCTTGCACTTGTCATGGTTAAACTTCATAAGGCTGTCATCAGCCCACCTCACAAGCGTGTCAAGGTCCCTCTGGATGGCATTCCTTCCCTCCAGCGTATCACCCGAACCACACAGCTTGGTGTCATTGGCAAGCTTGCTGAGGGCGCACTCAATCCCACTGTCCGTGTCAGCGACGAAGATGTTGAACAAGACCGGTCCCAACCCCGATCCCTGAGGGACACCACTCGTTACTGGTCTCCAGCCGGACATTGAGTCATTGACCACAACTCTTTGTGTGTGGCCATCCAGCCAGTTCTTTATCCACCGAGTGGTCCATCCATCAAATTGATGTCTCTCCAATTTAGAGACAAGCTAGAAAATGCCTTTTCTCAATGATGAGAAATTTTAGCAATTTGGGCAGCTGATTAGCAAGCAATCTGTTTCATGAGGCTTAAAGTAACTTGTGCTGTCAGATCAGAATAATTTGGAAGGAAAATCCACTGCTGGAGGAAATTCAATCAGATTTGCTCAGAGATGCGACATGTCAGAAGGAGTCCCCAAGGAAAATGGGTTGGTCAACAAAGTAGAAGTGAAATTGTTTAAGGAATGCGATTAATGTAATTTGCCAAATGGCTTTTACCTTCCCACACAGTTGTATGTGCATGCATAATACATTATCAATCTGTATTCAGATTTATATATTTACATATAAACATGTATTTGTAATAAATAGTACTATATGAATACATACACATGTTCACACACCTACATACACTTCAAACAATACATTAAAATTATTCTACCCACATTATGTCTAGGGGCACAGAAAAAAAGACTAAGTAGAATAACTCTTACTACAGGTATATTTTTACAGCAAGTAGAACATTCAGGGAAAAACTCTCAAACATACATACCTTAAATTTTAAGACAGGTGGTTCTGATATGGTGGATGCCTTTAACCCACGTAACCTCTCTCTTATGTCTTTCAACCTAGAAAATAGAGATCTTTCTGAGATCCAATAAAAAATGTAGCTTTAACTTCTCTGATTCAAACAGGCATTCCTGGGGGGTCCAGCAGTTTTTGTTTGCTGGGAAGAGAGAGTGATGGCATCAGTATTTCTTGGAGGCAGTCCAACTGATTAAAATCCAACGTATGTGAAATCTTGTTTCTCCAACTACAGAAGGAATCAATAAAGACCTGACCATTTCCTTGTTGACCACCCCAAGCATCTGCCCACTGTCCTTCCTAAGGAGTAGGTGACTCACCTCCTGTTCCCTTAGGGATTTTGCAGCTAAATCCCTTTTTTTTTCTTTTTTAAATTTTTTCCTTTTTCTATTTTTTTTTTTTCATTCCTCAAAACAAAGCCCCAGGAAACTCCATGGCCCAAGCATTATGGAGTTCTGTACTGTGGTGGAATATCTGGAGGGCAATGTCACACTCTTTCAAATGTCATTAAAAAAGGTTGTTCACCTTCTGCTTTGCCTGAACTTAAAAAGGCAGCTACGATATAAAACACTCATAATGGACTGACAAAACTGTCCCCAGTCCCAGCACTAGAACATTATGCCCTCTTCAGAGCAGAACATCATTTCCTCAAGTTCCACAAAAGCATTACGTAAACAATTACGCTAAACTTAACCTCTGTGATTTGATTAGAAAGAAACAAGTCTGGAGCTGAAACTTCCCAAAGACATCCCAGTACTTTCAAAAACATTTGTAATGCTTTAACGAACATGGATCGGTCTTTAAAACAGAAAGCATGCAGAATTTGTGACTCTTGTGAACTGTTGTCAAAGGTTCACAATACATCTCACATGCTGCACGTTATTCTACAGTGTGGAATATTTATAGATGCTATAACATGCTCTAATTAGGCATAAGCAGATCCAGAAATCCACTATGTGTTTGCCAACCACACAACACTAGAAATTCAGAAGTTACAGAAACTAAATGGTATATCTTCTGTCATTTCAGACTGAACTGCACTAAGATGGCTCACAAAATGGAAAGTGACTATATATACAGAAGTGCCAGTATCAAATAATACTTGTATTACTGCAGATGCAACCTGAAGCACTCCCCTAAGGAGCTGGAGCATGCATGTGAAAATAGGAATTTTCCCCTGATCATATGCTAGTGATATGCCTGAAGCGTCATCTTACCACTAGATAAGTTCATTAGGTTTCTTACTTTGCTTCTCTCAGGAATACTGCACTTTATCCAGCCTTGCAGCTGATGCAGATGTCCTGTACCAATCCCTAATTATCACATAGTGATTTCCAGCACAGCAGTAGATTTGATGTTATATTAACGCTTCCAAAATATCACCAATACTAAGACAGTTTTCAAGAAGGAATCAAAAAGAATTGTGATCATGATTTATCCTCACCTCCTACTTAAAAGATTGAAGCTCAAGTCGCTATTATTATTAGAGTCTCTATCTATTCGTGTCTCACTAGCACCACAATACCCAGGTTAGGACAGGGAAGTCACCTGAACACTGTGGAGATACCATGATGATCTGCAAGGTCCCCTAACACTGAGAATCCCTACTAACACTTGCAAGGTGCTGAAACTGAGATCCTGTTTGTCACAGTGGACAGTGCTGCTTCATGCTCCAAACAGCATAGAAACTTTTCTATATAGCAGCAGGAAGCAGCTAGTAAATGAACCGCAGCGAAGTAGCAATCCTGCAAGCCCAATTACAGCAATTACAGTATCTGTGTCTAGCTGGTGGAGCCCAATTTCCAAGCTGAGGCTGGGAGAACACTTCTCATTTTCCTCTAGAAACTTGGGAATTCACTGCTCAGGTTCAGCTCAGTATTACATCTCACTGCTCACCTGCAAGCTACTTTGTTGTGTTTCCCCTTAAGTATCTGAAGGGCTAATGGTCTGACTTGCTCTTTTCTTCCGGCCTATGATCTGCTCCCAGTGTCTCTGGTCAGTGAGCAGTAGCTAGTTGCTTGGTTCTGATACAGCCCCATGTGGCTTCAGAGCTCCTATACTACCAGCCTCCTGTGCTTGCTCAATCCTCTATTTAGCATTTATCATTGCCATTCAGCACCAGCAGAAGAACATCAGCCACAAAAGGTAACAAGCATGGTGGGTTCTTAACAAACACTCAACGGGCATCATCTGGGGATGTGGTTTTCTCCTTTAACAATCAGAAGTGGATGCATTACCGGTTTTTAGTTATGTGAAGTTCTTCAAGTAAACGTTGCTCTTCATAGCTCATCCAGCTGTCTTGAAGTTCCTCCTCTTCCTTCTGCAGCAAGTGTTCATAAAACCTGACCGGGTTCCAGCCAGTCATGATGTCATAGGTGATGACACAGCCCAGTGAGTGGGACACAATTGAGACTTTCCCTCCTTTCTCTTCAAACTCTGGATTCCGGGCACAGAAGAGTGTGTATAGCCGGTTCAGCTCTTGCTGCAACCCTTTCACTAGCTGTTTCAAGAAGATAAAGAAAGTTTAATATCAGTATTTTATTACTCCTGTTCATATATGTTCAGGATATATATTCAGGTCACTGTAGTACAGCGACCAGCTTCTTGAGCATGCATGTAGGATAAGGATCACAGTCAGTTCACTTAGGCTACAGAGATGAGGAAAATCCTATGGTGAGTAGCAACAGCTTGGATGGCTGTCACTGACTCCTTTGGTTCAACTCTCCCCTCCAGACTCAGCAGCAACCACCACACAGGACAATTAGTGACCTTAGAATTGCTACACTACACAGTCCAAAGCATTAAATTGAAATAAACCCTTAAACAAATGACATCTGTGCTTAAAGTACTTAACAGTATCCTCTGAGGTGAGCAATAGCAAGGTACTTGGTTTTCAGTAGCATTCAATTAGCACAACAGTGATTATTAACACAGGTGTATTTCCCTTCTTGCTTGTTTCTCCCTCAGTTTCCCTACCTTTTCAGAGCACTGAATGTTTGTTCTGTTTCAGAGATTCATCTTCTTTTTTAACCTAAGGAGGCTGGAAGAAGCCTGAGTCATACATGATCTGAAATCAGCTCACATCTCTGCCACAAGCTTGGCACATAACCCTAGACAAGTCATACTAGCTCTTCTCCATTTATCAATGCAAGCAACAGAATTCCTACATCAGTGTAAGGGACTGGGAAGATAAATCCACTAAAATGAGTATGTTCAGATACTACACTGACAGCCTAAATGGGCTCTGGGAAAATATCCTCAAATTGCTTTTATATCTCTGTGAAGCATACTCAAGCTCATCAAGTCTCATTATTCTTCCCACTGCTTGGCTACAAGGAGATGCAGCTTTCTATCCTACTTTCTCTCCTACTATACTGCACCTATTGTAATTTCTTCCAAAAAAATTACAATGAAATTATGTTGCTGAAGATTAAATGACAAATGAGACATGTAGAGCCGTAATTTAAACATTTTATATAACCAATGCTAAGAAAACAATTTTCTGGCTATAGGTTTCTAGGAGAGGTTTGGGGTGAAAAACAGGAATGCAACATGTCTCTCAAACATCATAGACTAATCCTATAGTACTACTGCAACAAAAATATACTGGTCCTATGTTGACTGAGTCTCTGAGAAGCTTACCTGCTTCAAATCCTGCATCTAGGGTACATACGCATGAAAATATTCAGATTCATAGAAAGTATATTTTAGAGAGAAATTTTGGAAGCCATGAGATTTAGGAAATAGACAATATAAAAAATGCTGCTTTGCTTGTGCAACTCTGCATAGTAACTGAGCAATGCTTCCAGGCTATGGCACAGAGGAGACCAAACAAGAAACTGCAAATCATTCCCTTGTTAGAAACAGGAAATTAAAGCTCTAGAACATGTAATTTGAACATGATTTTTCAAGACCCTGAATCATTACTGAATATAAATATGAATGGCACTAGGGCTGTCAGTGTTTGATACACATTTTACTGAGTGAGAATCCACACATCAAACCCTGTTGCCTAAAGCACTGTGAAATGATTAACAAAGCCTTGCAACAGCTTAGTGAAACAAGTATCAGAATACCCATTTCCAAGGATTACTGACTGCGATGCTGCCTATTCTTGCATTTAGCTCTATAGAGACTTTGGGCACTACTTTCAAACATGAACACACACACACAGAGGTTATAGCAAGATTTGGAACTGAAAACAGAAATCAGGACTAGCTTTGGCTGGCTGGCATTTCCTCCATTTAAAAATGTCTTAACACCTTGAACAAAATAGCAGGGATCTGTTGAAATCAAAGGGTTTTGGGATTCCTGACAGGAGCTCAGTGAAATGAGGGAATGATGATATCCAGCATGGAGCACGGGACCGGAGCCATACAGTGGGTACTCTGGATGGACTGGCTTCAGAGTTGGCAGTGTAAAAAAAGCCAAGCAAACTACTGCTGGACTCATCATGGCCTCCAGCATCCATCAGTACATCAGGGAGATGAGTATTACCATCTGGTTTGAAAAAATCCTCTAGTAATATATTTCAGTGCCCCAAATATTTTCTCTGGTGGGAAAAGACACACAACTACTCATCCACTTCCCTCCGCTTCTTGTTGCATAAAAAATATCACTCCCAATGTCCCTAACAACTTGCTCAACAAGTCTATTTCCATGGAAAAGCAGGTATCTTTCAGGAAGAATGATATTATATCAGGCTCCCCCACAGCCCATAGGCACAGTGCAGGTTATGTAATCTTCTAGCATCCTGGCATTTCATTACAAAGGTCTTGTTCTCTTGCAATCAGAGGGCACAGGACAGAGTATTCTGGATTGCCCAACCCTATTTTTCAACTGTCCTGCTCCTTAGAAACATGCTGTTACTGAGACAGCAACTAAGAAACTGTGCATAGATTTTCAAATAGCCACATATTTGGAAGTCTGCAAACCAGAGTCCAAGCATTTAATTCAACTAAATCATCTGATCCAGGATGGTTTTAAACTCTGAATCACTTGTTACCTAACTTAATTGTAGAGTAGAAGGTATGCAGTAGTAAAGCCTCCAGATTTTCAAGCACCATGAATGGTCTGGTTTACTGCTATGAGAGAAAGAGAAGCCCTCCACATGCAGTGAGCACTTACGGATATTTCTGTCTTGCCAGCAGTTCTGTATCAGCACTAAGATTAGAAACTGAACACTTTGGTATATAGTAAGGGGGAAAAAAAATGGAAAAGCGTACTCATTTTAAGTCCCAGCTAGAAAATTATTTGGTTAAGCAGCATACAACCACTTGCAGGTTCATGGGGTCTGTTATCATCCTTAGGAAGCACCCTCTGTTTCTGTCAGAAAACAGGAAAGCAGGAATTATCCAGGAAAACAGAAAAGTGGAACAATGGAATGCAGCATGACCAGACCCATCTCACTCTCTCCATCTTCCCTCTTGCCTCCTCTCTCCAGGCTGTCACCTTATTTTGGGGGTCAGTAGTGCTGAACATCCAGAGCCATGTTTCCAGCCCTCACAGCTGCAGCTGGAGGTCTTTGGCAGTGCTGGTCTTTGGCAGCCCCCCAAGCAGGGCTTTCCACACAAAAGGGCTAGAGTTTCCTTGAGTTTCTTCCCAACCCATATTACCATCTCCTAAGGCTTCTCCCCCAGACTAAACAAGCTCAAATATCTCATGAAGGAATAAATGTGGCAGCAGGAGACCCAGGAGATTGTTTTTCACCTGCACAGCTGCTCCCACAAACCCTGCTTGCTGCTTCAACTGCTAACCTGCTGGCTGCTCTGCTCTGCTTCACTACCCTCAGCTCTTCCAGAAGGACCATGAAACCCAGCAACCTTACATGTCTGTTACTGAACAGACCAAATCGCTGCAGCAAAGGGAACACTTCCTATTTCTTAAAAAAACAGCCATATCAAATCCCTGTATCCCAGCTGACCTTTCTACCCAGCGTTAGTTTACCATCAGCCTGAGGAAAACAGCAATATTCCAAATAAAGGCAAAATCTTCCATTAGAATAATCTTCCAGGGTTCTTCTGCTCTTCCCTAGAAAAGTCCCTTTCCCCTGTTCTGATTTTTAGGGAAAAATTCCCTAAGCACCTTTTGCAGACCAACTATTTCAGTACAAAAAGTTTTGTGGAGGATTAAAATGCTACAAGCCTGTAGATGTACGACTGCAAACAGTCATAGATACCCAGAGAAAATGAAATACAAATAAAACAGGACTTTACTGGAGCCTTTAATGCCACCACATTTGTGAGACTGATTTTATGGCAAGTCATAATCAGGTACAGGAAGCACCTCACAATGCTCGAGCTAAGGAGAGAGCCCCTATGAACTATTAAATTTTCAGACCTGCTGTCGTGGTTTAAACCCAGTCAGGTAGCTTGTTCACTCACTCCCAGTGAGTGGTGCCGAGCTGACAACAATCGAGGTCCGTGTCCGTCTCCCCCCCCCTGCCTCCCCGCACCGGGGCTCTCCCCTTCCCCGCTCCCGGAGGAACGGGGAGGAGGATCGAGAGAGTGCAACTCCTACGGGTTGAGACAAAAACAGTCCAGCAACAAATCACCACCGCTACTATCAGCTACAACAATGATAAGGGAAAATAACAAGGGAAGAGAATACGATACCACCGGCCAAGAGAAACGAGCCCACCCGGAAGCCCCTGTCCTTCCGGGTAACTCCCAGTTACCCCTCACCCCGGGCATGACGTGCTGTGGTATGGAATACCTCCCCGGCTAGCCCGGGTCAGGCGCCCCGTCTCCGCTTCCTCACAGCCTCCCCTCCTCCCTGGCAGAGCACGAGCCTCACAGAGTCCTTGGTCAGGGTAAACATCACTTAGCAACAACCGAGAACATCGGCTTCACCAACACTGTTCTCAAACTGGAAGTCAAAACACAGCACCGCACCAGCTAACACAAAGGAAAAACATGACTGCTACTGCGGAACCCAGGACATTATCCACCCCTTATTCCATACCATTCACGTCGTGCTCAGATCCCACATTTTTCAATACACCATCGCTCTCCCATATATATACATCCATATACATACAGACCAAGAGGAAAAATCATTTTCTTAGTGCATGGACCAATCCCTATAATGCTGCCGAGTCCATTCGGTCCATGATGTTCAAAGTTCATTCTCTGTTGGGATGATGGCTGGAGGGAAGTCAGGGCCAGTCGCTGGTGACCTGGAGACATCTAGTTGATGGGCTATAAAAGCATTACACAGCAGGCAACAGCATACAATTGAGTTCACTGGCTGTTTTCCCCTAAAATCAAATCCCCTTGAGGTATACATCGGACTTCCCCATCTTCCCGCATTACCCACCAAGTATATCCAGGTCCCTGAGCAAAAGCAATCCCATGAGTGGGTTTGCCTTTACCTGAAGCAGGAATTACCCAGACTGTCTTTCCCAGCAAATTCTTCATATGCACCACGGGAACTTTGTCCCCCTCTACAATATGTAACAGTTCTGACTGGGCTGGGCCAGCCCTGTTGGCAGATCCTCTG